GACTGGGAGTTCAAAATTTGTAGATACTGACAGGCATATGTAGAATAGATAAACAAGATTATACTGTATAGCACAGGGAAATATATACAAGATTTTGTGGTAGCTCACAGCGAAAAAAAAATGTGACAACGAATATATGTATGTTCATGTATAACTGAAAAATTCTGCTCTACACTGGAATTTGACACAACACTGTAAAATGACTATAACTCAATAAAAAATGTTTTAAAAAAAAGAATCATTAAAGGTCATACAGTTTGACTCTATGAATTGGACTATGATATATTTAGCCAGCTGCTTAGTGGATCAACATTTCTTGCTTATATAAATAATAATCAAATAAATATTCTTGTGCATAAGTCTTTGTGCAGTTAATCTTATTATTTCTCAGAATACTCTTATTTATAATACGATATTTGTTCTCACTGTTTCTATCATAATAGAAAAATCCAAGAAACACTTGATCTTATTCAATTTTCACCTTGCTAGAGCAGCTGATAATGTAAAAATCACTCCAGATCGCTTTTGTGGGCTCTTTTTCTGAGGTAATAAATAGCTCCGTATCATACCTCAGGACTGGATAGCTGATGCTTCCAAAGATTAAGCAGCTGTGCTTTTAGAAAGAGTCTTTTTTTTATGTTCTGAGCTTCCATTTTCTTGTCTGAAAAATTAGAAGGTGGATGACACCTTTATGAGGTCCATTCAGTATCTTGCTTTTCAATATGCTTCCCCACCTCAGAGATTCTAGCTCCTTTTATTCCCTAGTAATCAATCTCCCAAATGACTGTAAGTTACTATGCAGAAGTGGCCAATCATGACTACGTACACAAGTGCAGTCGCACCTGAACTCTCGTATGAACTGTCTGCGTGAGGCATTCTGCTGTCGTTTTTGAGTGTATTATGTATTACTATTTCCAAGAGGTGGTTCAACAGGCAAATGACACCCCACGTTTTAAGATTCAAGTATTAATTAGATTAATGTGAGAAATTAGAAAAACTGGGTTCCAGTCCCCATTTTTTCTCTTTTACCTTTGTTATTTTAGATTCAGTTTTTCAGCCAAGTCATAGCGTCTTCATCTGAGAAATGAAGATAATTGTAACTTTCGAAATGAGCTGCTGCTAGGTTTAAATTAAATCATATGTGTGACAGTACTTAATAGATTCTTGCTGAAAAGTATGGCTCCATTCAAAAAGGACTGAGATGAACTTCTAGGAGATGAACAATTAGAGCTAATTGCTTCTTATCTAAATAAGTAACAATAAATTATGAAAAGTTTAATTTGTAACTGAGGAATATTTTTAATGCATATTTATCTGAATTCCCCAGATTGGCATCTGACTCCACTAAGAATATTGAGAAATCAGAGAGACTATACACAGAGAAATTAACTTAACAAAATGATATATTAATAAATAAAACATACGTGAAAAAGTATACTTACATCTCAGCAGTTGCATAGATGATGGAAAATCTCCCAAAATGTTTTCAGCATGCAGACACAGGAAAAGGCTCAAACTTCGATTATTATGTGTGTGTGAATTAATTCTAAACACTTCACTTTGAATTTTTTTTTTTTGCCAATTCTATTCTTATTTCTAGCTCATAGAAGTCTCCCTTAAAGATAAAGTAAACCTTATGAGGTCACTGAACCATTTGACCCCAATGTTACCATGTGGCCACCCAGCCATCGCTTGGCTAACTTCAGTGACTGGGGAATGACTATCTTGCTTTCGCACTGGCTAAATGAAAAGCTCTTATCTGGAATGGAGAACTCTCTCTTTGTAATTTCCAAATACACGTTCATGTACTGACCTTATGGACAAAATACTAACCTTTTCCACCATAACATCCCTTAAAAACACCTCCATGATCTAGAAATCCTCTCTGACATCCCAATGAGTTCAGCACAACACAGATTCTAGAGTCTGTTTTTTGCAGATAGAGTATGTGGTGGTTGTGTTAAGTGGCCTGACAAAGTTGCAGGAATAAATCAGTCATAGCAGTATTACAGTAGATCTTGGATGTTGCTTAAGAAATTTATGCCAGATTATCACTGATTCTTGATTCTCAGGTATTTTCCCCCATGCAGGAAGGCTACAGTTTGTCTCTCTGGTTAATTCTCAACCATTTAAATTATTTAGTAACTGAGATGTTTTAGATGTAGAATCTCATACAGCTATGGCTACTCATCCAGCCGTGGCTGTTGCAGAATCCTTTCATCATCCTCACAAGTGATGGTCAGCGAAGGGAACTCAGTCCAGTTTTTGGTATCTCATTTCACCTTCATGGTTACTAGAATATTAATCTTTCCATTGGAGCTTTTACCAAATTGTCTTGAATCCTCTAAATCACCAGATTAAAGGTGACTTGAAATAAAAAAGAAAAAAGTTAATCCTTTCCATTTCTTCATAAAGTAAAGCTTCCTTTCTCATATTCATTTTTTTCCCTAAGTGGATGAACTATACTTTTCATGGACTAATTTGCCTTAGAGATTTAGAGGAGAACAGCTCTTGGGGATATGGGTCAAAAGAAGTTAATTAAAAATATTGTTATAAAAGAATGTTGGTTCTGAACTTCCTAATCACAATTACAAAGTTTTAGAAGGTGCCAAATAGACCTGTTAGGGGCTCCTTGGGGGTTTCCTCAGGTATTTTGCTTTATCCATTTAAAGGAAAAATAATACTTTGAAAAAATCTACAAAGAAGCTAAAAACAAAAAATTTTTCATCCTTCTTAAGTTATTGATACAGTAGGAAATATTCTCCATGAATATTCTAGAGTTTCAGAGACCATGTAGTGCCTCTGTCTATATTGGCATAGATTTTCTTAAAAATTCAGATAAAAATATAGTCATAGTGAAACCCACTTTTCTCATCCCTGTCCTGTTTTTGTTCAAAAAGACAAGCCTTCATACTGAACTCAGCCCCGTTCAACTGCTATTCCCTCCTCTTCTCTCTCACAGTCACAAAGGTTGCCATACACTTTCACTGTATTCTCTGATATGTAGATTTTTTTCAATAAGAATTAAAAAAATTATTTATTTTAATGGAGGTACTGGGGATTGAATCCAGGACCTCATGCATGCTGAGCATACACTCTACCACTGAGCTATATCCTCCCCTTGTTCGTAAGAATTTTAAAAAACCTTCTTCTCTGAGCTAAAAACGCTGTACTTTTTATCTTAACATCAATCTGACTTTTATTTGAGGATGCTGAGTCTCTTTCGTGTGAGCTTGTGCATCCTCCTTTCCCTGTATCCGAGGGTGAGGGCTGCAGGGCTGGAGGGACAGGCTCTTTTGTATTTGCCGTTGGGAGCAGTGTTATTTTGCTCCCAATGTCCACTTTCTTCTGGTTTTGGATAAAATTTCTCCAAAGCTCATATTACACAATCTTGTAACTTTTCTTTGTTTCTGTCATTTATTGCCTAATGAGTTTCAAGAAAGAAGTAAGCAACTGGCATAGGGAACTTCAAATAAGACAAGGATGGGGGAGCTTTTTAAATTGAATTTGAAAACATGAAAGTCATTGGGGACACAGTAAAGACTTTTTCTGTGGTTCGTGGTCTGTTTCATCCTAAGAATGTCTGTTATTCTGAGAAACCGTCATATCTATGTAAATAGCCCATAAAAGATGCTAGAATTTGAATTTCTTAACCTTACTATCAATGAATATCACTTGCAGTCCTCTTACATCATTAACTCCTTTTTTATAACTAGATTTTGCTATTACATAGAATTACTCAATCTCTGAAACCCCAAACCCCCAGGTATCAATGTTGGACCCTACTGTCCCCATTCTACTGTTCTTGGTTCCTATACATTCTCTCCATGGCCTCATTCAGCCCTCCAGTCTATAGGTGACCCCATTTTCTCCTTATCAACCTTTCTGCCTGAAAATATTTAAAAATACATTTTTCAGTGTGAAAATATAAAATATATGTATTTCTACAAAGAGAGAAAGAAAGCCAAAAGAAGAGGGAGAAGGAGAAGGGGAGAGAGAGGTTGATTGAGAATATACAGGTCCTTGCAGTAGAATGAACACCTCTAAAATGAAAATATGTAAGGAATAATAAATGGAAATACAGATACATTCTATAGAATGGCATTTCCTGATTGCCTTTAAATAATAATTACCATGGAAACTTTTTTTTCTCCCCCATGCTCATGACTTTAAGTACCCTAGCCATCAAAACCTAAAACAAATCCCCTGTTTTTAACCATTTATAGTATGATACTTAGTTTTTAAGGAGCCTCATCTAATGGGGAAAAATATGGGAGGGTGGTCTGGGCTTCAGAGCGAACGTTGTCATCTGCAAGCCAAGGGTGCTATTTTATAACAAGTGCATGGACTTCAACAAAAATTTTTATTAGTGTTTTCCTGAATTTTCCCTCTCCCAGCTCCACAAACAATCTTATGACTCATTATATGGGATTTGTTATAATCAGTTATCTTCTGTGTTGTATTTATAGAACGGTCTCCAAACATTTGATAAGTGTTTGGTAAGTGTGGACTGAACTGGGAGGCTAGATGCCATGGGGCAAATATTAAATTGGCAAACAGGATGGCTGGTTCTGGTTTTGACTCTCTTACTCCCTAGATTTGTTTCCCTTAACTGATCTCTTTATTTTTCTTTTTTTTCCTTTTTTTAATTTAATTAATTCTTGTGTGTATATATATATATATATATATATATATATATATATATTTTAAATTGAAGTATATATATATATATATAAATATATATATTTTAAATTGAAGTATAGTCATTTTACAATGTGTTAACTTCTGGTACAGCATAATACTTCATTTGAGTATACATATATTCATTTTCATATTCTTTTTCACCGTAATCTCCCTAGATTTTGAAAATCCTACCTCATCTGGGCTTCAGCTGCCTCATCTAGAAAGAGAAATGTTTGGGCAGGATGCTCTCTACAGCTCTCCTACTCCATACGTTTGGCTTGATACCTTTTTCTGTGGGAGACACTCACCACAAATATTTTTACTGCAGGTTTTACAACAAAGGGAAGCAGTATTGTGTAGGAATTAAGAGCATGGGTTTTGAAGTCAGATAGTTCTTGGTTTGACTGCACTTACTAGCTGAGTGACTTTGCGACAGTGATTTATTCTCTCAACTCCTCAGTTAACTTATCCATAAAATGGGGATATTATTATCACTGTAGGATTACCTAAAAGTGACATAAAATGAACCATGGAAGCTTTCAAAGCAAGTTGTCTGGCACGTGGTAAGTGCTCAGCGTTTTAGTTAGCTGTGCTTGGGGTTAAAGGTCATCGACTTCCCGAGGATTAGTGCTTGAAGGAAGAAGTAGCAGTGCTTAGCATGTTTCCTAAAATATGATAGCTTTGTTCCTGAAACGCCTGTTTGGGATGGACTGTTGATGGATTTGCAATTGGAGTTCCTTAACTTTCTTTTCATTTGGTAAGACTATGTAACTAATTGGAGCAATCAGATCCTCTTTCCAGGAATTTGGATTTAGAACTCAGATAATTTAAAATATATACCCATGTAAATTATATATGTATCTCAATATATTTAAGTATATTCAATATATATACTTGCACATATATTGACTATACCTGTGATTGAAATATATATATATTTGTGAAGGACTGAAGCAGCCATTATCTTCCATGTGCACACAGAAGTGGAAAAAATAGTGTGCAGAGAGAGAGAAACATTACTCAGGTATGTATTAGTTTACTGTGACTGCTATAGTAAATTACCACAAACCTGTTAGCTCCAAACAACACCAACGTATTCTGTTACAGTTCTGGAGGAGAGAAATCCAATGTCAGTTTCACTGGGTCTAAATCTATGCATCAGCTGGGCCATGCAGTTGGCTCTAGGGGAGAAAGAACCCATTTCTATGCTTTTTCCAGCTTTCGGATGTGCATTCCTTGGCTTTTGGCTCCTTCTTCCATCTTCAAAGCCAGCAGCATAGCATCGTCAAATCTCTGCTTCCATCAAATCACGTTACCTTCTTCTATGTGGTAAAATCTCCCTCTACCTCTCTGATATGACACTTGGGATACAATTAGATCCAGCCTGGGTAATCTAGGACAATCTCTCTCCCTCCCTCTCTAAATCTTTAATCACATCTGCAGAATCTCTCTGTCATATATACTTTGTACGTTACTTAGATTCACAGGTATCAGGGATTAGGTCCTTGATATCTTTGGGGGTGTTCATTCAGCCGACCACAAGATATTTGGGAAAAAAACAATACAAAGATCAAATGACTTACAGATTTAGAGATCCAGATATAGAGGGAAGACAGTGCCAGACCATGGATTTTTAAGGATTTCTAGTTCCTGATTCTAGTCCCTTAGCAGGTCTTACTGTTTATTATCTCATGGGGTTTCGTGTGGTATTCTTGATTATTATTATAATAAATACCCATTTTATTTAAGCTAGCTTGATTCCTTTTCTGCTTTTATTTCCCCTCAGCTGGTGAATCCTAGGATACTAATTCTTCTGTAGACGATGGTCACATTGTCCAGTTGCTACAGACAGTTAGTCTAGACTCACTGTCAATTACTGTCTCTGAATAATTGGTTTTCCTTTCAAACCAGTTGCTTCTTAGAATCTACTCTCATTCTTCCTGATAGCCCCTGATCTGCAGGTTCTCCAGATAATTAGAACTGGCAGGGATGCTCTTGTCTCAGAAAAAGTAGGTAAGTTCCACGTTAATTTTATGTCTCCATGTTTCTCCCGCTTAACTTGCTTCCCATTTCATGATATAGTGAACTGCTAACATAGACTGGAGTTCACATATATCTGTATACATATATTCAAAACTAGTTGTGTAGTTTGGGGCAAGATGCTTAACCTCTGTGAACCTCAGTTTTCTCATTTATAAAAAAGAGATCATAATATCAGCTCATAATTATTAAGAGTTAATAATTAATAATTATTAAATGACATATGTACATATTTAAGTACATGTACAAACTAGGGTTATATTACTCCTCTTCCTGTTTTTGTTACTTATCCATTATTATTATCTACAGTATTTAGCTGTCAGAGATGATTTGAATCATCTTGCAAATCCTGAAAACACCCAGTAAACAGTGTTCACTTTGAATTAGATGTGTTTGCACGACTTAGACTATTTGTGATAATCCGACTTTAACTAAAAAAGGAAAAAAGAAAAGGATGAACTATAATCCCCACTTTACAGATCAGAAGCTAAGCTTCAGATAGGCTGCCACCTGATAAAAAAAGTAACAGCCAGGCTTAAAATTTAGGTTTTCTGACTTCAGTTCAGGACATTAATCCATCCTACTCTGTATGTGAGATGGTCCAGTAATATAATCCAGAGCATGTTATTTTCTTTATGGCTGAATTGCCTCCTCTGGACCTTGCCTATAATACTTTGCATCTGATGTGGCTCAAAGCCTTCTCATCTCTTCCCACACACCTTTGATTTTATGGTTTTCAAGCATGCCTTTCCCCACATGGTGTGCAAGAGCTGAAGATGCCATTCTTAGCAAACAGACTTTCAAGGTTTCCTGGGAAATAAACCTTCAAGGTTTTCTGTGCAATAAGGACATAATTTTGTTCACTTCATCTCTCAGAACTTCCTTTACTTTTTCATTCCTTAGACTATAAATGAAGGGGTTCAGAAGAGGGGTCCCCATTATGGTGAGGACTGCTGTCACTTTGTCAAATTCCAGGGAGTGAGTCTGGCTGGGCCTCACGTACATGAAGATGTTGCTCCCGTAGGCAATGAAGACGACGGTGATGTGAGAGGCGCAGGTGGAAAAGGCTTTCTGACGTCCTTGGGCAGAGGGGATACGCAGGATGGTAGAAATGATGTAGGTGTAGGACACGGTGGTGAACACCAGCGAGGTCAGGAGGATGAGGGAAGATAAGAGGAAGCTTATCATCTCAAGGAGGTGAGTGTCTATGCAGGCCGCCTGCTGCAGAGGGGCAATGTCACAGAAGAAGTGATGAATCTCCTTAGAGCAGAAAGGCAACCTGGACAGCACAATAACTGGGCAGAGCACTGAAAAAAAGGCCCCCACCCAGCAGCCCAGAAGCAGCAGGAGACAGACCCTGCTGTTCATGATGACGGTGTAGCGCAGGGGGTTACAGATGGCCACGTAGCGGTCAAAGGACATCACCACCAGGAGGATAAACTCCACTGTCCCCAGAAAAAAAAAGAAGTATGTTTGGGTGATGCAGCCTGGGAGAGAGATGGTCTTCCTGTCAA